ATGGGGGAAGGGTCTAGGCCCGAAACGTCAGCCTTCCTGCTCCTATGATGCTGCTTGGCCTGCTGTGTTCATCCAGCTCTACACCTTGTTATCCCAGAATGCAGAACTTCAGTTTTGTAGATTGGAGAAGCTGTGACTGATTGTTTTTCTTGAAGAGAAGTTTGATTGAGGTAGTTAAAATCATGAGCGATCTGGACAGAGTAGACAGAAAACAACTGTTCCCGTTGTTGAAAGGATCAAGAACCAGATGGCACAAATTAAAGGTAATTGGAAAAGAATCACTTCTTGATGTCATGGGTGGTTAAGATCTGGAATTGCCTGTGTGTGGTAAAGGCATGATTAACTCAGTCTATTAGAAGGAAATTAGATCAGTACCTGCAAAGGGAAAAATGCAAAGTTACAAGGGGAAAGTGAGGAAGTGGTACTAAGTAAGTTGCTCTGACAGAGGACCAACAAAGACGTGATGGACTTGTAATGAGCCAAGTGTTCTTGAAATTCTGACTACCACACAGTTAAATCAAGAAGTCAATTTTCCCGTCAGTGATATAATCAGAATTCCATTTTTGTTGTAGCTACAGGACTCATCCCAATGATGTGCATTAAAAACAAGTTACCTTTGAGGTTTACTGCAGTTTAAAGAAGTGATATGAACCACATACTGGTGAATTGGAACCATCAAGATGATAAATGAAATTGAATCCCAGCTCTATGAATGGTGAAGGTTAGTAGAACATTAAAACTACTCCAATTATGATTAGCAATTGGAATATTTTTCTTCCAAACTTTCGTTTTTGGTCCAAAGCAGCCCAGACTGTCAATACACTGCTAGAGTGATTAAGCAGTCATTTGACTGAATACAAAGCAAGGCAATGGCTACTGATGGCAGTACCTAAAATACATTCAATATTAAAACATTCATCCTGAATGTTAGATGGACTTCCTAATGTAAAACTTAATGGCCACCAAAAATTAACAGCAAAGAAATGTGGCAAAAATATTTTCTCCCATTTTGCTACTTTTACTACAGTGATGGAGATGCTGCTCACAATGAAAAATCTGTCTTTATTTTGCTTGTTATAGTCTTTCAGCATTCATTGTGCTCTCAGACCAAATATTAATTTCAGTACACCAGTTTCAGTCGTGCAGAAACAAATCAAGCACAAGGTAAGCATAGCAAATGGAGGATGGAAAACACTGGCTCCTTAATGTATCAGTGAAAAGCAAGAATAATCAGCAGCAATAGTCCTTTTTTTAACCAGAAATTGAAGTTCTAGATGCAGAAGTCAAACACTTGCATCGTTTCCAAGGTTCAAAAGAACACACTCAAAGACAACACCCTGGGACATATGATGATACTTGGTTGTGACAAAAGCACACAGTCTAGTTGTTCAGCCCACCAGTTTCGTTCTGCCAATCCCTGCACCTTTTTAACATATTTTTCCAATAACATTATAAAGTGTGAACTTTATAGGCTCGGCACGAGATTTAGCTGTCATTCAAGGGACTAACAAATTTCTGATGAAAGGTCATCTTTACTCAAAACATTAATTCAGTTTCTCTCCACAGATGCGGCCAGATCTGCTATTTCTAGCACTTTCTGTTTGGTATCCACAGCGTTTTGCTTGTATTCAACGGAGTTTATCACTGATCTGTCAATCACTTTCAATAACACGCCATGCTACATTGAAGTGTAATGTTGGCAGAATACAGCAAGTTACAACTGTGTTATAAAATCTTGTCTGGGCAACCACCGTCAAGGAGCAGTTAATATTAAAATTGTTGGAACTGGCAACTTCATACTTTGCATATGATTCTGAAACTAAACTGGAGTGCAACTAAATGGACAGTAAAATTACAGGCCATTAATGTGAGACAAGTCATTTATAATTTGGAGTGATTTATTGCTAATATTGAATCACAAAAGCACACATTACCATTTCCAATTTTTGTTTTAAAATTGTGCAGAAAATGTAGGTTGCCCCCGAAAGAAAGACAAATAATAGATTAAAGTTAGTAAACATGTTTGTACGTGATGGAAATACTTTGATAAAGAGGAATGATAAAGTATAGGGAGGGCGAGCAAGGCTCTGGGATTAAGAATTCATGTGATCAGCATATTCGGTGTTGGTGAATTGATCACAACGAGACGAGTTTTTTTTTCTCTCTCTCTCTCTTCTTAAAAGCTGAACGTTTCAACAAAGCGGCTTGCTGGACTTCATATTCTCTGCACAGGAACGACCCAAGCTGGCGCCTGACAGGAAGATTTCGGTGATTCTGTCAAATCCCACGCAGGTAGTCAGGGGAGACACCAAGCCGTACAGGAAGCCGAAGAACATAGCGATCGGCCAGGCCAGGTGGATGAGCACCAAGAACCAGAAAATGGCCCACAGCATGTCCTTCACGCCCATGTCGATTTCAGCTGGAAACTGACACGACAGATCGGGGTTAATGTTGCAGAATGGAAGGCTCCATAAACACACAACATTGTTCCATTTACACACTACTACAAAATACTGAGGTGCTGGCCGGTAGCCCGGTGGAGTCAGTGTCATGGGACTGTTATACAACCCAGCAGCGACATTCTACAAAGGCGTTTTTCGCCGGAGTCTTGACTGAGCCAAGTGAGGAACAGCTTTCCCCTCTAACTCCCGCAAGAAAGTCATTCTCTTTTCTTAAAACAAAAATGAACCCGGAAGAGAAAAAATACTTCGGAAAACAATTCACTTCAATAAATCAAGGTCTCACCCGAGCTTTCTCAACCCTTACCATAAGGTCTCAAAGAATGATGGAAGAAACTTAGCAAGTCTGGAAACATCTGGGGGAGGTGAAAAACACAATTAACGATACGACTCTTCATAACAGCTCTCTCTCTGCACAGATGCTGCCCAGACCTGCTGAGTTTCTCCTGGTTCTTCTATTTTCTTTCTTTATTTCAGATCTTCAGGATCGGCAGTACCTTGTAATCATTTGGATGCTAACTTACCCTGGCTGAAGTCTACTGCGACGTGTTATATTGTAAAGCCCCGAAATCTGCAGATCTAGTTTAAATGACTTGTTAAGAATGCTACCCGGGGCACTCAAAACAGAAAATCGGAAAGCTTACGCGAAAAATAAGATCGCCGTCTGATTAGATTTTCTTGTTGCTTCAGGTCGCCTGCAGGATTCGCTTGTTGAATTGAAGGCTGCGGCTCTCTTATTAAATTGAAACTTTGTTTTAACATTCTCTGAAAACCGCAGTAAAAGAAGTCCTCGCAGCTGTTTCTGAAAATACTGATTAGCAATTAGCATTGTCAAATATGATATTGTCGTTAAAATGTACCTTGCACATAAATGTTAAAGATGACTTAGACGTAAGTCTACATAATCGTACCAGACCATAGGGCTTCTCTCATATAGGGAGAGATGACCGACGGTGGTTTAACCTGAGGGTCACTATGCCTCAGGTGAGGGGAAATAGTCATAGAGTCATATAGCATGGAAACATTGGCCCATATCCCTCTAAACCTTTCCTATTCATGTACCTGTCCAAATGTCTTTTAAATGTTGTAACTATACTTGCCTGTACCACTTCCTCTGGCATATATGAACCACCTTCTGTGAGAGTCTTTCATGGTAACCTCACCTGGTAAGGGAATTGAACCCACCACAATGCTGGACTTTCTCTGGCTCACAAATTGGCTATCCAGACAACTGATGCCCAAACTGTCTGCAAGAACCCTATCCACATGGCCGCAAAGGGAATTTGCTGAGTACTTGTCCCAAAATAACAATGGCTTAACATCTTTTGACAAATGAAGAAAAGTAATAAGTGGAGCAGTTGGCATCTCAGGGAGACTGTATGGTAATGGTACTGTCAGGGGGCTAGTCCATTCAGGGCATGTCCCACTACTGCAGCTGGTGAAATTTAAATTCGATAATTAATTCTGAAATTTAAAGCTAGTCTCAATTACAGTGCCACAAAACTCCCATTTGATCACCACAAAATGCATGCATTGAATATATGTCCTTTAAGAGAAGGAAATCTGCCATCCTTACCTGGGACTAAGCTACACATCAGTCCAAATCCACAGCAATGTGGTTGACTGTTAACTGCTCTGCAAAATGGCCAAGCAAGCCATTCAGTTCAGAGACAGTTAGGAATGGGCTACAAACTCTGTCCCAGCCAGTGAAGCCCACACCCCATGAAAGAATAAGGGGAAAAAAAACCCCACATATTGATCCTCTGATTTAAAAAAAACTGCAAAAGAGGCCATTCAGTCTCTCAGTACTGTTCCACCCTTCAATAATATCATGGTTGATCTGTAACTTAATCCCACTTGGGTAATTATTTGTATTACTTCACCAGGAGGTTTACGGAGATAATTAATATTCCTTTCCCATCGCTCATGTCCTGTTCAAATCAATGGGGATGGTGAACTTGCTGGATTTATGTTATTTCTATTAATGGCACCATAACAACATTGAGTTGAAGATGAATGGTGTGGGTGACCTATCAACAAGGTCATTTATGGGTGTCATATGCCTCTCAACCTGGAAAGCAAACAAAGGGGCCGATGAGCTATGCAATCTTGCTCTGGACAGTCCAGAAATTCTAGCATTTTGTTTTTAAAAATAATCTGACAATCTTCTTTGTCAATCCAGCCATCCAAAATCCTGTTAGCACTAAGGTAGTAGTTTAAAACTCAATTTTCTTTCTACACTCTGAAGGGAGCTAATGTGGTGCAAAGCCTTATTCACTAGCTATTCTAGTTTTTATTATCGAGAGGATAGAAGAGGAGCAAAGGAAGCAGGCACAAATGGGACAAGAAGTCCAGATACCGTGCAATCTCATTCCTACATAACTCACCTCAGCAGGCCGCCTGTAGGGAAGGTAACAATGTCAGAGATATGCAGACTCCGCTTCAAAGGAAATTGTCAGTTCTTTGTGAGAGACACAGCATTGGAGACTGAACTTCCCAAGCTACCTTGTTAGAAGATGACAATAGTTCTTAATCTCTACAAAGCTGGTTCCTTCCAGGCAGTTGTTCACCTGTAACATTAGCCAAGATGCTGTGAGAATCAACATTGACAAGGTCACATTAGATATTCTACACAGCATGTGGCTTCATCAAACTTCAACTTTATTTAGTCATAATAAAGACGCAGGTCCACCATAGGATAGCTGCTTTCCCCAAAGTCCAAGGAACTATTGACGGGACCCCTAAACCATCGATAAGGCACTCATTTTCACTACTAGGAAAAGCTATCTTTCTCTAATTGGACTATCTGTACGTAATGTACAACCCCACATGCTGCAGCAAAATTCTGCTGCAGATACTGAAAATACTCAGCAGGCCATGATATGGCATCTGTGGAGAAAAAGAGTCAGTAGTCCAGGTTGTAATCTGAGTATTTACAGTATATTGCACATCCTGCATATTAATACAGGGTTCAGGGTGCAAACAATACTTTTATCCCCTCATTCCAATATCCACGACTCGTTCAGTTGTAAGGGACACAAATGATTTGTATCTTTACAACACTTCATGACCTCAGGTCAAAGCACTTAACACAATGAAGTATTTTTTAAGTACAGTCACTGCTGTTGTGTAAAAATGTAGCTTCATGGGAAAGACACAGATTATTCAGGAAGGGTTTGATAATGGAAGGTTGTGCTTGATAAGTTTTATCTTTTGAGGAAGTAATCAGGACCATTAATGAGAGTAATGAAGTTGATGTGGTCTAAATGGAGTTTACTAAGGCTTTTCATGAGGTCAGTCAAAGTAGATTGATCAAGAAAGTACTTGCCCATGGGATTCAATAGAAAAGTGGTAATATCATTGAACTAGCAATCTGGAACCACAGGCTAATGCTCAAGAACATGGGTTCAAAGGCAACCATGGCAAGTGTTGAAATTTGAATTCAATAAAATCTGAAATAAAGTTAATCTGATGGTGACCATGTTGATTGATGTAAAAACTCATGAGATTCACTCACCTCCTTTGAGGAGGGATATCTGCCATCCTTACCTGGTTTGACCTGTGTGACTCCAGGCTGAAGTACTGGCCAAGCCAATGATGCCCATATCCCATGAACCAAGTGTATTTTAAAAATTAACCTGCATGTCCTTGGGCCTCATGAACGACAGGGTTGCCAGAGATTGGCTACTGGAGACTCATCTGGTTCCACAATGATAACCACGTCCCTACATCCATACAAATTTCACCAGCAGAATGGCAAAGGAGGAGAAATCCAGCAATTTCTTCATGGAGTGATTCCGTGTGGTGGTGTTAATATGGAAGAGGACAGGCAAGGTTGAAACTTTTAATTGAAATAATTGAACTTGTCTTCCTATAAGTTCAACAGCAACAGCAACAATTTAAATGTAAACATGACCAAAGAATCTGTAAGCTCTCACCAGGAATCAACAAAAAAATATAGAGTCTAATTTTACACAAAGTGTAATTTGTTTATCTTAGGATTTCATAATCAATGGTAAGAAAATAGCATATACAGTACTTACTACGACAAAATAGTTCCTGTGTTAAGCTGCGGTGATACATTGAATTGTAGTGATGTAACAGCACTTTTAAATGCATATGCACAAGTAATCTCTTCAAAAACAGGAAAACATCTCAAACAGTTTCTTATAACATTACCAAGTACAACAATATCAAAAATGATTTTTCAAAAAAGAAAACAAACACCGTTTTGGACCAGCAGCATAAACAACAGCAGTAACTATAAGAAGTGCTGAAACTATTTACGATTGCTGTCTGAAGTAAATCTGAGGGTGTGTGAGTATATAAGATGAATTCCACATAAAACAGGGAACTCATGTCTCAAGTGTGTACAAACCCTACTGTCTTGGGCATGGCTCTCGTGACTCTCGATCAAAATTAAGGGATTTGGGAGCTAGGTTCTGGATTTTGCTCAGTGTCGTGAGGATTAGGTGACTCTTTTTCTCCTTGAGCAGCTGTTGCTGTTTGCATTGTAAGTTGGGCCTCAGCAATCAGGCTATTCAAGATCTGTCTGCCTGGTACAAAGCCTCAGTGCTGAAGGAGTTGGCCTTCAAGACTGCTGCTTTTCTGCTCATCAGCAGCATATGGTGGCACTGAACAATAGGATCCCAGCACTGCATGTAGGACAGTCTCCAGATAGCTCTTATGCTTTCAGCACCTTTGGAAACTCCTTTCTGCACACCTCCTTCCTCAAATTAGAAGTAGGAATAGGCCATTAGGCGACTTGAGTCTGCTTGGCCATTTAATAACATCATGGCTGATTTGACTGTGACTTCTACTTATCTTTGTATCCAATACCCTTTAAATTTTCAAAGGCGTTTTAATAAATTTGTCAATCTCTTGTCAATCAAGAATCTATCCAATGTAGTCTTAAAAATATTCAATGACCCTTCCTCCACTGCTGTCTGAGGAAAAGAATCTAGGCATTTAATGCCATCTTTGGCACTTCTTTCCCAATCCCCTCTCTTTAAATGCATTTTTAGCACAAACTCCAAGATACACAGTGGCTTGAAGTTACCTTAGCTCTCTACCAATCCCCAACCTTAGTTTCATTGCTATTGATGAAAATTAAAGTTTGGTTTCAATTCCCGAACCTTTCCACACCTCTACTAGACTATAATGCAAGACTTATCTGCTTTGTCTTTTTATTCAACCAAGGATGCTGGCATCATTTACAAAGCCAGCACTTACTAACTCACTTCCTAACTGTTCTTGAAAAGGCGGTGGTGAGCCACTTTCTGGGAACTATTGCTGCCCACGTGGTCCAAGTACTACAGCAGCACTGTTAGGCAGGGAGTTATTTCCTGGATTTTAAACCAGAAACAATAAAGGATTGGTGATATCTACCAAGTCAGAATGGTATGTGACCAGAAGGGAATTGCAGGTGGTGGTGTTTACGTGTATCTGCTGCCCTTGCCTTCTATGTTGCAGAGACCAGGTAATCGCAAAGTGCTGTCAAATAAACCTTGGTGAATTCCTGCACTGCATTTCGTAGATGGTACATCTTGCAGCACTGTGTATCAGTAGCAGAGTCAGTAAATATATGATTTGAATGGACTGTGAATCAAGAAGCGTCAAATTTCTTGAGTGTTGTTGGAGCTGCGCTTATCCAAGCAAACGGAAAGTACATCACATTCCTGATTCGTACCTTGTAGATGGTGGACAGGCTTTGGACAGTCAGGAAGTGATTTATTTGCTGTGGAATTCAAAGCAAGTAATATTTACACCACACACGTACTAGGCAGCGACAACCTCCAGCAAGAGAAAATCCAACCATCTCCTCTTGGGATTCAATGGCATTCTCATCACTGAATGTGCATCATTATCAACATCCTGGGAGTTACCATTATCCAGAAACTAAAGTAGAAACAATCTTGGAAATCAGGATAATTATATTGTTTGGTTCCCCTTACCTTCTACTCCTTTTTATACTCCATCACCACTACCAACAGTCTACCAATCAAGAGAGCAAATCAAAAACTGCCGATTGTAATAGATATGCTCACTGATTTTTTTTAAGAAAATTTATTAAAACATCTTTGAAAGATACAAAATAGATTGTTCAAAATCTCATAATTACAATTGAAACTATGACAACACTTATGAATACTGATCACTGTCCTATATAAAGAATCTGGCAAGTTACAAAATGAGATGTCCAACTTCTATATGGCCATTCATTCGAACCTTTTATAATTTTTCGTGCAAGGAACCATCAGTTTTCTTTGTCCTCTTCAGTTCCACTGCCCTCACTATCACTGTCCCTGCCAGGATGCTCAGGCATTTTCTTAAAGTCCTCCTCTGTGGTCTCTTCATCTTCATTCTCAGGGACTGATTCCTCCGTTTCTTCTACATTGTCAATATCTGGAACAGGAGCTGGTTCTTTAATTGACTGGGGCACTGGTGGTGGAAGTAACTGCTGCAGAGATTAAAAAAAAAGAGTATATAGTGAATATCTGCACCAACACAAAAACTGCAAATGATATATGTCCTATGCATTGGCTCTGTTAATGTCAAAGGAACATCAAGTGACTGTGGAAACATAACAAGATGTAACAACCATTGTGACAGCAAACAATCTCCAAGCTTTTAAATGTACAAATCCACATTTAGAAATGTTACCATCATATTCAATAAGTGACTCTAATTTTTCAAATCTGTCCTGTAAATCCTAACTACTCCTGAATACAGGGAAGATACAGTGAGAATCTGCATTCAACATTTGAAAAATTAAGCTTTCACTTCCTAGTACAGTTATTTTCCATCACTTTCATTTATATATTGCAGTACAAATGAGGCAAGCTGGAAAATCATTGTGTAAATCATTGTGTAAATCATTGGGTGGCAAGACGTCAGATTTCTTTTCGTATTAGTTAAATGAAGAAATCATCTGTGCAGAAAGGGGAAAAAAGTGATGAAATTACAAATTGCTTCCCAACTTCATGGGACAAACAAAAATACTATGGACAGAGTATTGGCTATTTTATCAATTTGCCTCATTTGTATTTATGTTGTAGATAGCCCTTGAGACAGATGACTTACCAACTTGATTTATTTTAGTGCCTTGAGCAGTGAAACACAAGATATTTCACAGAATTGTTAAATAAAATTTGACAGTTAATTGGAAAAGTGCGATTTCTATCCAGTAAGATGCACTTGAAGTTTTTCTCAAACTTAAATGCCTCTTGTAGTGCAGCTTTTATGATCTCCAGGTAATGTTGTGGGGGCCCAGATTTGAATCCCACCATGGCAGATGGTGGAATTTGAATTCAATAAAAAAAATCTGGAACTAACATCTAACAATGACCTTGAATCCATTGTCCATTGTCAGGAAAACCCATCTGGTTCACTAATGTCCTTTTGGGAAGGAAACTGACATCCCAACCTGGCCTCTAGACCACAGCTCTTATAGAGCAATTAGAAATGGGCAATAAATGCTGGCCTAGCCAGTGACACCCTCACCCCATGAACGAATATTTTAAAAAAAAAGCCGAAGTGCACAATCTTACATTTCCATCTGCCAACTATGAGTCCACTTGGAGAATCTTTGTGTCATCCTTCCCACCAATATTTATGTCATCTCCAAACAGCTACATAGTACATTCATTTCCCTCATCCAAGTCATTTATTATACATTTGTAAATAATTGCAGCCCCAGCACTGACCCCTCCAATACTTTCAGGTTGCCAAAATGAAAATGCCTCCTTTATCCTAACTCTGTTTTCTATTAGTTAGCCAATTCTTTATCCATGCTAATAACCTACCACTAACGGCATGAGCACTTGTCTTATTAAAAAGCCTGTGTGGTACCTTATCAAGCACCTCCTAGAAATCCAAAAATATTATATCTACCGTTTGGCTTTTATCTATCCTGCCAGTTACCACCTCAAAGTTGTAAGAAATCTAACAGACACTATTTTCCCTTCATGAAGACATGCTGATTCTGCTGGATTACATTGTATTTCCAAATGCTCTTTACATTCTTTATACTAGACTCTAGCTTTTCTCCCCCCCCCCATTGTCAGACAGATAAGTTTCTGGCCTATATAGTTACCTTTTTTTTGTCTCCTTCCCTAACTGAATCAGGACGTAACAATGGCAATTTTCCAATCCACCAGCAAATCATTTTCCAGAATCCAAGGATCTTTTATTCTGATATAAATTTATTAAACCTGCCCCATTACACATCACCAGATCCAAAACAGCCTGATCCCAGGTTGAATCCACAACATATTGTCCTAGGAAACTGTCCTGAACTCTGAATTCTTCCTTGTGATTCTCTCTGCCAATTTGACTTTCCCAATCTACATGAAGATTAAAGTCACCCATGATTAATGCACTACCTTTTTTACCTGCTCTTATTATATCCTGATTTATTCTCTGTGGTACTATATAGCGACTGTTAAGGGGCCTATAGATTACTCCTACCAGTATCTTCTTCCCCTTTCTTACCTCCACCCACATGGGTTCTACATCTTCCAATCCAAGATCTTTCTTGCTTTCGTACTTAGTCCATTCTGTACCATCAAAGTTAGCTTGTCACCCTTACCTCCTTGTCCTTTCGAAAAGTCACATAACCCTGAATATTTAGTACAAAACTTTGATCTCCTTGTAGACATTGCAGAAACATCATCACAAGACCATACTTACAAACCTCTACTTGCGCTGTTAATTCATTTTATTCCAAATACCCTGTGCATTCAAGTAAACGGCCAATAAATTTTGCCTTTTTACTCTTTTCCCCTCCCCTCTGATCCTACTGGCTACTGTTATTCTATGTTTATACACACTGTTCATTCTTGTCCCATTTTGGTTTCATTATCCAAATAATAGCAGTGTAATGTTGTCACATTCATTTGCATTGTAAGCCTACATTTTCTCCCTCCCATATCCTTCTCCCCCTCTTTAATTAGTTTAAAGCCATTTCATGCATATAAATGAGAAAGGTAGATGCACAAGAAAATTAACAGGCAAATCATTTAAACTATTTGCAATAGTACTCTTACAAGAAGCTCTTGTAACTAGTTGAGAGTCTACTGTTCACCTGACACACAGACTTCAACTGCATGAACAAAGTGGAGCGGGAAATAAAAACACCTCTTTACCTTTCTGTATTGGTGCATATTCTGAATCATCTGCATGTACATATTATAAACGAAGTTTGCCATCTCAGGCATGTTTTTGATAACTCTCATCAAATGGGTTGGAATATTACCATTCTGAAAAAAATCAGGTGTGACCAATGGTTACAGTAGAACATTTGTAAAGCCACAGCTAAAAGCCACGTTGCACAGAAAAATCATTTGTCATTTAGGAGAAGTTACCCTTCTGTCTGTTGGATGATACTCGGATGGCACAATGTGTAGCTGGAGGGGTCGAGCAGTTAGCTGATTAAAGGCTGGAGTAAGCTCAAAGCAGTTCTGGAACAGCGATACTCTTGCAAAGATGTACAGCCCAAGCCTGGCTCTTGACATGGCAACAACTAATCGCCGAACATCTCTGGTTGTGATGGAAGACTTTGGTTAATATCTTGATAATTGCAGGTTTACTGCTGTTAAACCTACCCAGTTTAAAATAAATTAAAATGCCTCTAAAAAATATCATTTCAGCAAAGGTGCTCTGGCCCCAAAATTAATTCAAAACCGGTGGCAGCAAACTTCAAATTACAAGCTGACAATTCATGGCTATACAGCATTGATGAAATAGGTCAGTCACATAATGATGCAGTGTATCATGTTTAAAAATGTTAACCTAATTTTTAAATTGACAATGTACGCTTTCAGTATAAATTGAATTTCGATTTTAATATACTGTGCTCCTAAACATCTACGAAGATGCAAATTACAAACACGAGCTCGCCATTTGGTTAATCAGGTTATCCCTGATCCGATTGTGGCCTTAATTTTACTTTCCTGTCTGTCTTTAAGAATCTTTGATTCCCTCGTCAATCAAGAATCTAAGTCAGACTTAAAAATATTCAATGATGCTGTCTTCACTGCTCTCCAGCAAAGAGAATTCCACAGCTTAACAAACTTGGAAAGAAAAAATTCTCATCATAATAATGAGAAAGTTCACAATATGCTGTTACGACTTATCCCTTAATAAGCTGAAAGATACTGGATTGTCCAACTCAACTTACCAGCATCTCTAATGATAAATGGGTCATTTAAATTATGTTATGACAAATGAAAACTAAAATTAGAGACAAGGTTTGCACTCTAAATATCACAATCAAAATCTACAACTTGCACAGCACAAACAACCAACAAAACACAGTTTCAGATTAGCAGCTTCTGTTTCTCAAGTCAGTCATTTCAGTTAGACTTGGCATGGTTCAATTTTCAGGTGTTAAAGTCAATGAAACATTTTCTAAATTATACCCAGGGTTCTAGTGTTGCACATGGAATTGACTCATGGGCGTTTGGCATCAATTTATAATGAAAAACATGTTCATATGGATTTCTAACTTGCTACTGAAGTACTATCTTACCATAGATATACTTCCATTCTAAAACAAATTTAATCACTACTCATCTACATAGATTACTGGTAGAGTTAACTATCCTTGAACCCAATCAGTTTTGCCAGTGGAACTGCTTTGAGCTGTGTGACTGCTAAATGAAGGGAAGATTAACCATTCTTGGAAAGGGAATTCCACGACATAAAATTATAAAGGCTAAAAATACAGGCCAGCATAGCAAGCTGAAATAGCAAGATAGGTTAACATTGCTATCAGTTTGATTCCATTCCAGATTTTTAACATTTAAACATCTTTTTGATTCTCTAAAGATGACTTTAAGAAAAATAAGATCCCAACATGTTACAATACTTCTGCAAATTTACACTGCAGTTTTATCAGTTTTTTTAAACATGTTTCTTTCAATCTCTAATTTCTTTTGACACCACAGTGAATTGCAGGAATAGCAACCTGGTAATTGAATGAAATTGTGTGCTGCATCCTGATATCACAGGCATTTTTTGGAAACTGATATACCAGACATCGATGAGACTCTGGAACACTGCTAATGACTATAGGATATAAAGAAATTATAGCTTTAAAAGTTAAATCCACCAAAATACTTTCAATGTGATCACTGAAAAGATTTACTTCAGGATGCCTAAATAATTTGTAAATATTTGTATCAGTTTTATAATGCTATCATTCATGATCATCTCATCTTGTGGCTCATTAGTGATCAGAAATCATGTTACACACTATACCTCAGATGTCCAACAGCTTTAGTTCGTACCAACGAGAGGATAATATAGTCATTCTGTTGTCCCTGGAATCTGTCCACTGTGGTGACCTAGAAGGAGAAAAATGTCTGCATTTTTGAACAGAAAACTTGGGAGAAGGTAGCAAGATTAAGGGAAATCAATTCCCTGGTCGTGAAGAGGTTTAATATGACGTATGTCAAATAAATTTCAATAAAATCTAATAACAGAAATAAGTAACAGACATACTTTGGAGTTGGTAACTCCAGACCTCATTAGTCAGACTATGACAAAACAAAATCGATATGATTCATCTAAACAAACAGCTTCAAATGGATCAAAAACAGAAGTTGCTGGAAAAGCTCAGCAGATCTGGCAGCATCTGTGGAGAAAAAATCAGAGTTAATGTTTTGGGTCCAGTGACCCTTCCTCAAAACTCCAGAACTGTTCTGAGGAAGGGCCACCGGAACCAAAACGTTAACTCTGATTTTCTCTTCACAGATGCTGCCAGACCTGCTGAGCTTTACCAGCAACTTCTGTTTTTGTTCCTGATTTACAGCATCCACCGTTCTTTTGGGTTTTTTTTAAGCTTTAAATGGATGATTGGTCTTTGTTCATTCCATGTATTCAGATTGCATAAATTGTATGACTGCACAGTCTTAAATCACAAAATAATTTGACCCCAAATTTGTTGATATTAATTTGAACAGGACAGGTTAGCTTTATCAGATACTTAAAGAAATATCTCCTTTCCTCTGCACAGCTCTCACTTTAGTTCTTCTAATACAAACAGTCAGAGATGTGTTTGACACAACTAGCTGCACACAAATACACCCATTCCAACCCCCAACACATCAAAAGGAAATGCTCACTTCCACTTGGTGCTTCTCTGTGCAATATGACTGAAATTGAGGTATTAGTACCAATGAGCAAATGATTTACGCAAATTCTACATGCACTACATCACATGATATACATTTGGTAATTTTCTTTTATATAAAAAAACTTGCAAAAAGTCACTACCCTGGAAATAAATCAGGAGATCTGTGTTACAAGATTTGAAAAGAAATCTTACCTTGCTTGGTCGTCCTATAAGAGGATTACCACCACAACGCTGATTGATAACATCACGAATCAAATGCTTCTGACCATTGTATGTTGTTAAGATGCTGATTCTTTCTGCAGGGTACCCTAGCAAGCGCATGTACATAAAAAGGGCCACTGCATATTCAGCCTCTGCCAGATTCTGTCAAGGGTTTGATGAGTGACAGTTTTATTTTCAAAAAGGCAATCAATACAAAGTAAAAACCATCAGAGTCAAACATTTTCCAAATTCTTTATAGAATGCCAAAAGGGCTTTAGTGCAAAAATCATCAGGATGCAAAATATTTCAATAACCAGTCTTCTGCATAGGTCAATCAGGTTACAGACATTTGAAACATTGGTAATTTAACACAATTATTTACCTGGTAAAAATATGGATTGGGCTCAGATTCTCCAATTCCATTGAAATCCTCCACATTAATAAGTTGGAAATCGTACACTAAACCGGCATTGGCAGTACAGAATTCAGGTAAGATCTGGACGTGGGGAAGGTTGCCTAGTTTCTTGTAACGCCAGTTGTAAAGATTGCACAAACTTAAAGAAAAGAAGAGTAAATGTCAGTAATACAGTGCAGATTACTTAAAACAGTAGATATGTTTAAATGGATAAATTCCTTTTCAATTCTGATTCCTCTTTTTCCAGTCACTTTCAAAAGTCTAGGCTCAGCGATAGCCAACCTTTACTTTAAATCGAGAGTTATGGGTTCAACACCTCTGCAAAGACTTGCGCATTTAGGCAGACTTTTAAAAGTAATACTGAAGTAGTACAGCAGTGCCAGAGGTGTGTATGTTAAAAAGGGAACATGAAACTAAATCCCACCTCTGTCCTCAAATTAACACAAGACATTTCATGGTGGCATTCAAGTATTAGATGGGAAGTTCTCATGTTCTAGCTAAAACCAACAGAAAGACAGACCGAGAGGAGCTGATCATATCTCAATCTTGAAATTACAGAAGTGTTATGTAAGTGTAAATCTTTTCTTTCTTTTGCTTTACCTAGCTCTTGCTCTCCCCTGGGCATCAAGATCCACTGTTGGAACACCCAAACGAACAAATCGTGTAAATAGAGACTGTTCCATGTTGGAATATTTCTGGAAGGCCATGTTCTTAATGACAGGGGGAAGCTGGTGATGATCCCCGATCATTATCCAACGCTTCAGTCGACTGAAACCATCTTCAGGGTTCTGTGGAGAACGAACAGCATGTAAACAACTTCCTGGTCTCAAAGATGCTGCTGGCAACCGTGAGCAATTTTTACAATTTCAGTCACTACTTCAAGACTGGGTGTCAAAAATTTCTTCTGTATATTGTTAGTTAATTTAATTAAATCAGTAAGATATTAAGCAGTGAACGCCTCATTTGAACTGAGTTCAATCTCATCTATGAAATTCATTACAACCTTTGGATGACTGTCACTCATGAATTTAGAGTCAGGTTCACCTAAATGTGACATATCTGTAAATTCAATTTGAGGGCCGCAGATATGAGGTGTATAATTTTGCGCTGTCTTGTGGGAAAAGGTAACCAAAAGAACATTAGACCATATTAATTATCATAGCATATCAATACCAGCAATCAAGACTCTAATGTGCCAATTATCTACTTATGATAGAAAGCTTACTTGTAGGAGGAGGGGAATAAAGGTTTCAATCTCAAGAATCTGTGCAGCTTCCTCCATCAGAATGTTGTCATACTGTCAAAATAATAATAATAATAATAATAATAATATAATAATATTTTCTTTTCATATCTTCAAACATCAAATTGCAATCTGTCTTCCCTCCCACCAAAACAAAACGACCAACGAGAGTACGTATTGATGCACCAGTGAATCCAAATGTTAAAATGAACAGTCAGCACAGTAAATGGAATATTCTGCGACTAAGGCAGCCAATTCCTCTGATCACATAGAAAATATAATCTAAAACAGGGTAAAACCTTCCTCTAATCTGTCGCAGTGATGCCAGCCTTAAAACAGTACTGACTTTTATTTTTAAATCAGTTTCTAAATGCCACTTCTGACAAAATATTATTTCACAATATAGAAAACAAACTTTATACTTCCAAGAGAGCACATTGCTGAGTTTGAGACATGTTTGAGAAAACAACTACCCCTTATGCTGGCAGGAAATTCTTCCCCCTTCTCTGGATAATGTCACCAGACCAGGATTGGAAATAGCTTTCTTTTCCTTTTTGATTTAAAGAGAAATTTTCAAAAGTTTCTCATGATACTGAGCAATAGGAAAAAAATGGAAGTTTGCAGAAGTTCACAAAACAGGTTTACTGAGTGGGCAGCTACGTGGAAAATGCAGAGAAATGTGCACCCTGAATGTTAGGCTTCTCAAGAGTGAAAAAGTAGTCAGACCCAAGGGGGTTGGTGGTTGTGTGCGTGTGTGTCTGTATAAAACTTTAAAAGGTGAGAATTCAAGGAGAAGAGGCCACAATGAAGAATTGGAGTCTGGGTTTTGTACTTAGAGGCAATGAAAAGTAGTGAATGCAGAATGTTGGATTTGCAAACAAACATGGATTAGGCCAACTGGAGATGGGATGCGGAGTATCATAACAAACAGTACTGCATAGGTAGTGGTGAGGAGAGCTGGGTATCAACAGCAGCCAAATAACATCTAGCAGTTTGTTTTTAGACAGTGTACATTCAGAAGAAACAGGAGGGAACCAAGGATAAACTTTTGAGAGACACCAAGCAAGGACATGGGAGCAGAAAGGTAAGCCACTGTAAACAATAACTTGGCTATGATTAGAGACATAAAAATAACTAGGTATGGATAGTCCCATTCAACTGGATGGTGGTGGAGAGACTTTCGAATTGGGTCGAGTGATCAATTGTGTCAAAGGCATCAGACAGGTCAAGGCCTGTCATAGATCATTAGTATCCCACTGACTGTGACTGTGGGATATCAGCTGTAATTTTTGTAAGAGCAGTTTCTGTACAATGGTAAAGTGTGGTAACTTGGTTGATAGAACTGAAACATGAAGTTCCAGGAAATATGTGCACAGATTTGGAAGACAGCAGTGGGCTCAAGATTTGTGGACAGAAAGTAGGTTGGAATGGGGCAGGAGCTGCCAAGGATGGAGGATCACTTTTGTGTTTGAGGGGGAAGAATGATGACTGCAGACCAGTAGGAGGATGATAGTATCTGAGGCAAGAAGTTGTTAACAATATCAGTTAAAATGAGGGCCAGGAAGGGAAGCTACCTCCTCTAATTTGAAACTAAATAGTAGGTCATTACAAATTAAAACTCAATATACTTCACTACATAATTTGCTTTGTGTTTAATTAAAAACTGTATTTGCCTGTCATTTTTTTAATTAAAAGACTTTGAACTTAAAAAAATAAAATATACCTTCAATGTGGTTGACTCTCAACTGCACTGTGAAGTGGTACTCAGTTGTATTAATCACAACGAACACTCAACAAAGCAATGAAATCAGATGGAACATCTGGCATTGACCTGGACACCAGAAAAGACAACGGTTGAAACAGCCCTGCTGATTCTGCAAAGTCCTCCTTACTAATATCTGGGGGCTAGTGCCAATGTTGGGAGAGCTGTCTCACAGACTAGTCAAGCGACAGCACGAAATAGTCACAGTCATGGAATAATACCTCAGACACAATGTCCCAGACATTTCCATCACCATTCCTGGATACGTCCTGTCCCACTTGACAGGACAGATGCAGCAGAAGAGGTGGCACAGTGACATACAGTTGAGAGAAAGTTGCCCTGGGAGTGATTCTGGACCCTATGAGGTCTCATGGTTTCAGGTTTAAACATGGACAAGGAAACCACCTCCTGCTGATTACCACATACCATACTCCTCAGCTGATGAATCAGTACTCCATATTGAACACTTGGAGGAAGCACAGAGGGTGACAAAGGAGCAAACATAATCTGGGTGGGGGATTTCAATGTCCACCATCAAAAGTAACTTGGCAGCAGCACTACTGATCAAGGTGGTTGAGTCCTAAAGGCCAAAGCTGCTAGATGGGTCTGCAGCAAGTGGGAACCAACAAGATGGAAAGCCATAAAAACTGAAAGAGCTACAGATGCTGTAAATCAAAAACCAAAACAAACTGCTGGAAAAACTTAGCAGGTCTGGCAGCATCTGTGGAGAGAAATCAGAGTTAAAGTTTCAGGTTGGATGACCTTTTCACAGAACGGAAAAGCATACCTGATCTCATCCATATCAGCTCCAGATACGTCTGTCCAAGACAGTATCAGTAAGACCACTGAACAGTCTTTATGGAGATGAAGTCCACTCTTCACCTTGAGAATACTCTCCTTCATGTTCTGTGGCACTATTAACTGTGCTAAATGAGACAGGCTAAATGAGACAGACTTTGAATAGATGTAGTAACTTAAGACTCAGCCTCCATGAGGCACTGTGGGCTAACAGCAGCAGCAGAATTGTACTCCAGCACAACATCATGGCCTGGCACATTCCACTTTGAACCATTACCATCCAGCCAAGGAATCAACCCTGGTTCAATGGAGAATGCATGAGGGCATGCTAGGAGCAGCACTAGGCATATCTGAAAATGAGGTGTCAACCTGCTGAAGCTACCCAACAGGACTCTGTGCATGCCAAACTGTATAAGCATCAAGTGGGAGACAGAGCTAAGCAATCACACAACTGATAGATTAGATCTAAGATATGCAGTCCTGCCATATCTAGTCATGAAAGTTGGTGGACAATGAAACAATTCCCGGTAGGCAGAGGCTCCACAAATAAACTCATCCTCAATGATGGAACAGGCAACATCTAAGTGCAAAAGATAAGTCTGAAGCGTTTGCTGTATTCTTCAGCCAGAAGTGCTGAGTGGATGATCAATCTCGACCTCCTCCAGTGTCCCCTGCATCAGTTACCAGTCTTCAGCCAATTCAATTCACACTACATGATATATAGAAACAATTGGATGCACTGCACACTGAGAAGGCTATGGACCTTGAGAAAATTCCGGCAACAGTACTGAAGACACAGGCTCCAGAACTTGCCGCTTCCCTAGCCAAGCTCTTCCAGTATTGTTACAAAACTGGCATCTACCCGACAATATGGAAAATCGCCCAGGCATGTCCTGTACGTAAAAAGCAAGCTGAATTCAACCTGGCCAATTACCATCCCATCATTCTACTCTTGATCATCAGCAAAGTGCTACCAAGCAGCACCTGCTCAGTGATGCCCAGTCTGGGTCCCGCCAGGGCCACTCAGCTCCTGGCCTCAAAATGCCTTGGTTCAAACATGGACAAAAGAGCTGAATTCCAGAGGTAGGCTGAGAATGACAGCCCACGACATCAAGATTGCATTCAATCGAGTGTGGCATTAGTGAGCCCAAGCAAAACTGGAATCAATAGGTATCGGGGGGCAAATTCTCTGGCACATGGAGTCATACTTGGCACATAGGAAGATGGTTGTGGTTGTTGGAGGTCAGTCACCTTAGCTTCTGGAGTTCCTCAGGGTAGTGTCCTCGACGAAATATTTTCAGCTGTTTCATCAATGACCTGTTCTCAACATGAGGTCAGAAGTGGGATGTTCACTGATAAATTACACAATGTTCAGTATTCGCAATTCCTCAAATATTGAAGCAGGCAATTTCTAATGCAACAAGACTGAGACATTATCCAGGCTTGGGCTGACAAGTGGCAAATAACACAAATGTCAGATGGTGACCATCTCCAATAAGAGACTAACCATCACCTCTGGGCATTCAATGGTGTTGCCATCACTGAATCCTCCAACATCAACATCTTTGGCATCACCATTGACCAGAAACTCAACTGGACTCACGACATTAACACAGTGGCTCCAAGAGCAGGTGTGAAATACAGGCTAGAAATACAGTGGTGAGTAACTCACCACCTAACTCCCCAAAGCCTGTCCATCATCTACAAGGCTCATGTCAGGATTATGATGGAATACTCCCCAATTGCCTGGAAAGGTGGATCTCTAACAACACTCAAGCTTGATCCATCCAGGACAAAGCAGCCTGCTTGACTGGCATCACATCCACAAGTGTCTACTCTCTCCACCATCAACGCTCAGTAACAGCAGAGTGTACCATCAGCAAAATGCAATGCATAAATTAAACAAAGATCAGCACGTTCCAAACCTGCTTCCATCTAGAAGGGCAACAGATAGATGGGAACACCACCACCTGCAAGTTACCCTTCAAGCCACTCACCATCCTTACGCGGAAATACATCACCATTTCTTCACTGTCGCTGGGGCAAAATCCTGGAATTCCATCCCTACAGCACATGGACTGCAGTGGCTCAAGTAGGCAGCTCAACGCCACCTTCTCAAGGGCAACTAGGGACAGGCAATAAATGCTGGCCAGTCAGTGACACTCATTTCCCACATGTGAAATAAAGAAAAAACTCCAGTCTAAACTACAGGTGTCCTTACATACCAGGTCAAGTGTTTGTTTTTACTTTTGTTCTTTTAAGTACAAAAATTGCTTTGTTCAAAGAAAGAATCAGGCTGGAAAAATATCAACTTCCAATGCATCAGGAGATAAACTGTTCTGAAATACCAGAGTCTCTTCCAGCAATTATTCTGTTACAGGATTGAATTACTTTTTACCTTGAACCCCAGCTCTACTAGGTCATGTCGTTTTAAAGCAGCATGAGTACATGTCATGGCAATGATCTTTGCTTCTTTCACTAGTAAATATTTTGATCTGTCCAGCCCACTGCGCAGCAATTCAAAAGCTCGAAATTCCTGCAAAAATGATCAAAAAATGTAAAAAATACACAAAGGTTTGCATTTGATTCTATTTCTGTACATTCCAATAACAATACATTAAAAATAATTAGACTTTGAAGTTCATCCAGACAATAATGATTGCAGTTGATGGTTGTCAATATTCTGTACTTTCTGATACCACCTTTTTTGATACAGGCACACAGGAAATTAGCCATAACTGAAAAGAAGCTTATTCTAAAACTGAAAAGGGTTTAAAATTTGAGGTATGTAGATTGTGACCACTTATGCATAATTGAGGATGCCCTGAGAAGTGTAAAGCATGACAGACATTCATGTAATATCCAATTTCTAAATAAAAAGGGACATTAGGTCCTTTTGGCCAAATTAAGTAAACTGAAACAACAAGGTGCAAGGCTGGATGAACACAGCAGGCCAAGCAGCATCATAGGAGCAGAGAGGCTGACGTTTCGGGCCTAGACCCTTCATCAGAAGGGTAAACTGAACGCTTTTTTTTGAAGCTTCAAAATACGAAAATCTTTAATCCGTAAAATGGTTATATCATTGCAACATAGAAGGCAGCCCTGCTAAAAGAATCTATCCAAATGCCATTTTCTTGCCATTTTACTTTCTTCCTTTCCACTTTTTTATACCTTTACGCTTTAAATGTTTTGGTCTTGGCTTCACTAACAACTACATAAATTTTCCCATCAGCACAGAATGAGATGGTTAATGTCAGAATATGTTCTTACATATTTACCATAAGATAATCTATTTCCACATTCCTTCGTACAAAGTACAAAGTATTTAAACCTTTCCACTATTTTAAGTCAGGTAAGAGATGCTGTTTCTTTCCACTGGCTGTTCTTTTACTTATGCCCTTCCTTCTGCATAAACTTAGGGAGCACAATGAAAAGTCCTTTTCAGTAACTTGCTTATCTAGGATTTTGGAAAACTTGACACTTCAGTGTTACCTCATTGGGGCTGCCATCATTTGAATGAAATATTAAACTGATGACTGCTTTATCAGTTAAACTATGCCATTACAATATTTGAGCACTTCTAGTGACATGTTCAATATATTTCATCCAAAAAAAAAGACCAAAACTAAAAAAAGTCATTTACTTCAATTGTTGTTTGTCAAACTTTGCTGTGTGCATATTTGTTGCTACGTTTGCTACTTCACAAAACTGTAATTCAAAAGTAAGCCATTGGCTCTCAAGTGCTTGGGAATCCTCATGAAATGTAAGGCCCCAAATATGTAAATTATTTATTTTAAATGTCTTCATTTTCATTCACAGAACCTTTTCTTTGCCATACTCCTTTTATTCTAAACTGGAATGTACTTAATCCACATGACATTAAATATCGTTTTTCCATTTGTCTTTTTAATTCATTATTTTCTAACCAGTTAACTTAGGGCTTCATTTCTAGTTACTACAACAGAAACTTGCAAATTCCCAGTTCAACAACCTTTAGTTCCTCTCTTTCTTCAAGGTAAACCAATTGGGTTTTGATCATAACTGCTCCAAGTATTATTGAATCCACCAAACCCAGTTCTGCTTTGCCACTCAGAGTTGGATCTAAGACAGCACATTTTTGTGTTAACCCTCAACAGATTGATTATGGAAACAATGATGGATGCATTCAAAGAAGCCTTCTTGTCTTGACCAGAAGCCACCATCTTTTTTAAAACTATCTTGAAATAAGATAAAGTTCTTCCTAAGTACAACACTCATATTTTTAAGTTGTCTGTAAATATCATCCATGATAAATTATTCCTCCTATCTGATGGCCAATGATACATTTAACAAAATGGTATCAAATTTCTTATTTCTAACACAAGAAAGATTTGATATCATCGTCAACAAAGCTCCTTGGCTATATTTGCTTTCAAATTATTAAGCATTCTTCCTTATTTTATCTTTCCTGATCGACACAAGAATATTCATTGTCAGACTGTTTTAGTTCAATCTCATTACTGGTAAAAACCACTTTAGTTAAATCTAAAAGTATATCATGAATGATTGTTTCAAATAAATGATACTTTAGCAACAAAAAGATGTTCCCATCTTCATCACTGTGAATGCTGTATTTTTTAAAAGGAGGTCTTTGTATTTTAGTTTTTAGGATCTATAATGGTATATAATTAATAATTTTAAAGAAAGCTCAGTATGCTAACGACAAACTAACACCAGGAGCATGACTATGATTTCATGGACTGTAACCATGATTTTACTTACAAACTATGGAGCGCTTAAGAAATAATCAGCACCAACCTGTAAGTACAACTTAAACTCAGACACGAGATAAAGATCAGACATTTTGTATTGTGTGAGGTGAGTCCACTTTCGATGTTTCCCATTCTGTTGTGTAACTAATGTTAGAGTTAAGGTTATAAGCAGTAAACAAAAACATATTTCTATTTTTTTTGATAAATCAGGCAATAAATCCTGACATCTTATTTACTTATCAGGTTGGAATCGGCGCAAGACTTTTGGCTATTCTTATAAGTGTGGCCTACCTCCAGCTGTGTAAATATTTTATTGATGTGTCTGAAACAACCTTCAGCTATTTCCATATCTTCTTCATATGATTGACCTTTAAAAATAGGCTGGGGTGCATTTGCAAAGTATTTATGGAATGGAAAATTCTCAGACACTGTTGTAACATCACCAGACTTTCCACATTTAGTCTTTACTTTGCTGAGATATTCTTCCCAACGTGACATCACCTGAAAGAAAGAAAACAAATGCACTGATGTCCTTCTGTGTAGTTAGATCACAATAAACCTGAGCCTTAGGCCGTACATAATAATATTCAGAGTCAAATATTAGAAAGAATATTCTTATTTGGAACATTTATGAATCTATGCAAATTATAGAGCAGCTAGGCAGTGTGTCACTATGAGGTTGGAATTAATAATTACCCCAGGCTTGACCAATGGAATTTAAAAGGGGAGCAAAAGGGGTGGAGAGAGGAGAGGGAATGGATGGGACAGGTATGATCTCCGGCATGTATGGTAACAACTCACCAAAGTTGCTTTAACACACTTCCTACCAGTACAACATTTGCCGGTGTAAATGACAGAGCTTTAAGGATCATTAGAAGATAGCATCTAGATGTTTTCCTAAGTTACAAACGTCCTGTTTCTTCAGGTTGATCAGTCAAAAATAAGCAATGTCCAACAAGCACATCATTGAAACGACAGCATAAGGGTGACAGTGATTTCAAGGGAAAGTCCATCACCACCTTCTAAATGAAGCACACTAAGCAAATGGCAACAAATGCCGTTTCAACAGTTGCTCCTAAATCCAGAGGAAAAAATGAATAAGGTCAGGGCAATGTTGGCCCTTATTTCAAGAGGGTTGGAGTATATGGGTAGGGAAGTTTTACTGCGACTGTACAAGGTGCTGGTGAGACTACATCTGGAGTACTGTAAGCAGTTTGATATGGAAGGATTGTCTTATGGTCAAAGGCTAACAAATTGGGGCTCTATTCACTGGAGTTTAGAAGAATGAGAGGTGATCTCATTGAAACATAGGATTCTTAAGGGGCTTGACAGGGTAAATGCTGAGAGGATATTTGCCCTCACGGGTGAGTTTCAGACAAAGCCACATAGTCTCAGAATAAAGGAGACACCAATTTAAGACTGAGATGAGGAGGAATTTCTTCTCTCAGAAGGTTGAGTGTCTTCGGAACTCCTTGCCACAGACAGCTGTGGGGGCAGAGTCCTTGTGTCTCCTTGAAGATTAGATAGATTGATTCTTGATTAGCAGGGGAATCAAGGGTTACAGGAAAAATGCAGGTAAATGGACATAAGAAATGACGAAGCAGGCTTGGGGCTTATACTCCTGTTCACATCTTTCATGGTCTATAACTTTAAAGATGTCACCTATCATTGCCACAAATACCAAACAAACCCAAGACATGTAACTGTAACTAATATTAAACAGAATTAAACAAAATAATGTCCAAATCTTCCCACATTTACGATCATTGAGCTTTGATTTCCACACTGCAAACATCTCACCTGATACAGGTAAAAATGTCCTGCTGTTTCACAAGTATATGAAACATCTCCAGGGACTCCCAGACTCTCTTGCAATCGTCCCACTTCACGCAATAATTCAAGTCTCCGAGCCAACACATAATTTACCCGACCATACCTATAAAGCAATTTCAAACAAACTTGGTTATAGTACCGAAATGTTATTTGGTTCACAAATTAAAACCTTACATACTTATGTTTCCAATATGGCATATGCATGTGGAAATATTTGTACCGTATTACAATTCATGATTTGATTGTGAAATTTGCCACATCTTAAGCATTACATAGAAGGTATTTAATTGTAATTAGTTAATTTGAGAATGGAAAATATAAAAATCTAAACAGATTCTTAAAGTCAGAAATGAATTAATTCATCAGCACAAAGATCACAGCCATTATGCAAAAGTAATATTTTTCTACATATCCAGATACATATTTTTATTAATACATAACTTGGCTCTATATGTTTCACTCTTGACTATAGACATAAATCTCATCCTACAATTTTAGCATATTATCTAGATTGACCATCAAATATGTGACTGAGGAAATGCTACATTGTTGCAAGCACCATCTTTCAGATGAGAAACTAAACAGGCAACTTTAGCTGCCTGCTACAGTTATACAAACAAACACTAAAGATCCAAGGCACTTTCCAAAGCAAAAGAAGTACTCTCCATGTGTCTTAACCAGCATTCTTCCCTCAACCACTACCACCCCAAATAGTTTGGTTATTGTCATATATATTGTATTCCATTTGGATTCCCACATCTTCGAGTTCTAAGGATCATGTATGATATGTTAGTTTACCAACTTATCTAATGTAGAACTCTGCATATGCGCAATAAACTGAGTTGTGTGTTCATTTGTCTGTGTTTCCAGATTTTCTAATGTTATATGGACAAGGTTGAATGTCCAAAGTGTTGGAAATTCATTGCATTACTACTTGTGAAATATTGCTATAAAATGGCTGCTACGTTTGTTTTCATAATAGTCACTGCAAAGAAATTAAGTCTGTGAGATGCTTTGAAGCACTTCTTGAAGAAATTATATGCCAGTATGAAAATGTTTTTGTTACAATCAACAAAACTAAATAAACTAAATTTTATTTGAAATACTTTTTCCTAGCCTATAATTTTTATGCTTAAAGCATCAACATCAAATATTTCCACTTTAAGGACAGCTTAGATATGCTGCCCAATATGATTCAACTTCACAGTCAGCAGCACACCCCTTAATAAGAGTGACATTTTCTTAGTGCCCATATAGCAGCTACAAAGAATGGAAATTTAGTGCCTTATTAGGGGACCATGGTGAAAAGTGAAATTGTATTTTAAAAAAAAACTAATTTCATATATAACTCTCAAAGCTTGCAGAGAAAGACTCATCTCAATAATCCATACTCAATTTCAACCCAGGCCCCAGGAGCAGCAGGCCAGAATCTAACTCAATGCATCACTCAGTCTTTGTGAAATGAAATTTTATATAAATAGATGATGCATGAAGTAGTTAAATCTACTAACAAATTGAATGAATACAGCAAGGTGTTGAGTTTCCAGTCAGTCTTCTTGTCAATAAGTTCATTAAGACATTGTTCCACTGGGCTATTCACAAAGTTGCATGTTGCATTATTTCACGTAGAGAGGATTAATCTACCATTAAAACATAATGCAATATTGTGGGGAGGGTATTTGGGCTACATTGTTAAATAAAAACAATGTTTAATTCGTGTAAGGAGGCAAATTTACAAACTGCAAATTTCAGAAACCAGTTTTTTTTAAAATGCTGAAATGCATGTGCAATTAAGTGTCATACTTGCTTGCAAAATCTACAGATGTAATGTTTTGAATATAATAGAAGTAGATTCTTGTGTTGTTGCTCATAGTTGCTTGTATATATTGCTATGTGATATGATACTAACAAGGTTATTGATTTACAATGATGGAAAACTTGAACTACATCGCGACATATTTCTACAGATATGATGTGTGTGCATATCTTTCATTTTGACAGGGAGTAGCCCATGAGACTCATTCATCAATCACGTACAGTTAAAGATGTAACTCGGTCTACAATCAGAAGTATCAAACACATCATGGACACAGTCATAGAGATGTACAGCATGGAGACAGACCGTTTGGTCCAACTCGTCCATGCCAACCAGATATTCTAAATTAATCTAGTCCCATTTGCCAGCAATTGGCCCATATCCCTCTAAACCCTTCCTATTCATATACCCATCTAGATGGCTTTTAAAATGTTGTACTTGTACCAGCCTCCACCATTCCCTGTGGCAGCTCATTCCATACATGTACTACCTTCTGTGTGAAAAAGTTGCCCTTAGGTCCCTTTTAAATCTTTTCCCTCTCAATTTAAACCTATACCCTCTAGTTTTGCACTTCCCTACACTGAGAAAAAAGATCTTGACTATTCACTCTACCCATGCCCCTCAAGATTTTATAAACTTCTATAAGGTCACCACCCAGCCTCCGAAGGTCCGGGGAAAATAGCCCCAGCCTATTCAGCCTTTCATCTTGGAGCAATGCAAAGTTGAAAATGTAAATTTGCAAAAGTTCCAGCAACTCAGCAAGAAACTGGCACTATTTAAAGGTGACTTTCAATAAATGCCTTAAAAACACCATTCCATGAAGGGGTAAACAATACTGTCTATCATGTCCTTTTTATACACTAGAACAGACATAATAGAAATGGAAGTCAATACAGTGTGGAGCTGGAGGAACACAGCAGGTCATTTCAGGTCCCAACCCAAAATGTTGGCTTTCCTGCTCCTCTGATGCAGCCTGGCCTGCTGTGTTCCTCCAGCTCTACACTGTATCGACTCTGACATTCAGCATCTGCAGTTCTAGCTATCTCATGAAAGAAATGGAAATTATTTTTTTAAAACACTTAAATGAAAATGATAACAACGAGCATTGAGAGACATTTGAATCCATAATATAAATTAAAGTCTGGGGGAACACATAACAATTTTAATTTGGATTGCACAGCAACGGCTTCAGTGAGGGCTGCAAAAGAAAATTTCCCTTTCTATATACACTAAGTAACTTTGAAAGACATTTTCCAAAATTAGACAATGATTGAAGAAAAAGCTTTTGTGTAGCCTTTATTGCATACTTGTGCAAATATACAGACATGACTTTTGTTCAGATCCTTCATACATAGAATTAGTGAACACAATTAACGAATATACAGCATCAATGTGCCAAGATTACAATTTGTTCCACTTGTGGTGCAATGGTGGTGTGCCTACCTCTGAGTCAGAATACAGAGGTTCAAGCCTCACCTGCTCCAGAGGTCTGGAATAACATCTCTGAACATGTTGATTAGAAAATATCTTCCATGTTCTAGATTTCATTTCCTCCATTCTATTATTACATATTCCTTCCAGTTGCTCACCTGCTAAAATCCTTTTCAGTCTCCAACTCCTCCTCTCCGTGACCCAGACGTAGAAGGTGACGCTCATCAATGTCCAGAGCCATGATCTTCTCAAACAGCTGATTCAATGCCTGGAGATTGGCAATAACAGATGATTCAGTGTTTAGAAATGAGAACAATGTTTGAAAATAATTAACTTGCTGCAATGTGTGAAACATTTTGGGAGCACTTCATATTCCATATGACGTTAATCTGGTTTATCACAATTCTGTCAACTTTAGATTGAACACTTTTAGACACTCGTCTCCAGAAAAATCAACTGTCACGTATCAATTTAATACTCAGTCCAAACCTGAAATTTTATAAAACGAAGTTCAGGATAAGTAATGTTTCAAGTGTGCAAGCTCATCTTTGAAGTTAATTGGTCTTCTGTATTATTTAACAGTCAGCACAAAAAAATTCAAGCAACCAGAGATTGAATTTTCTTTTCAAATAAGATTTCCTCTTTCTTAATTTTAAAAATTTTTGTTCCATCTCCTTTGAATCACTCCCACTGCTCATTTTTGCTTTATGGGAGCTTTTTTGTGGGCTTTTACTCCTTTTTTAAATTGACAATTTACCCTCCTTAATTTTACATCGAGTTGATTCTCAAATTGTGAAGTTTTGTCAGGTTACAATGTGATTCAGATAAATTCAAAGGGGTATTGCTAAATATACTGTGAGCTATAACTTTACTGCCATTACATCTGACTTTGATTTGGTCCTGAATTGATATGGTGCAATTAACTCCACTTACAATATTTACCTCCTTGCACATGTTAAAATTTATCGATATATTCTTTTTTCATGCAAAGTTATTTTTTTAAACCCTCGCTCATTTGCAAAATGTTTCATGAATGACAGGAAGTACGATTACCATGTGGAAATGTTTGTAAAAATGTGATAAACAATGTAGCTATTTTTAAATCAAACTGTTATGACATGTCTAGGACAGATAGGATTTGAATCTTCTGGTCCAGAGACAGGAACACTACAGCTGCTCCACCACAGCCCTTTAGAATATTGTTATATATTTGGCAAAAACACGATAGAGCTCTATCACACGATGTCCTTGACTATACAGTATTCTGTTTTTAGTTCCCTGCCTCAGTTCTCATGCTTCAGTTCTCATGCTTCATTGAGCCAAGTTCACTTTGCAAAGGACTTAAAAATTATTCATAGTATCTGTACAATCTCTTCTATTTCAGTAGATAATGTGCTTGGCAAAGTTTAAAGGTTACACAAATACCAATGAGATTAAGGTGTAATTGCAAAAGTCCAACTGACTAATTAGCAATTTAGAAAATCAGTTCTTATCATAGAATTATACACATGGCTTTGCTTTTCCATTCCAACTTATTTCAGCACTGAATAAATAAACTTCAGAGATTGTAACAACATATTTTAAAAATATATAATTGTTTAAAATGACCCATACAATATCTTTCAATAGCTACTCGTATAAATTGAAAGAGTTTGCTTCGTCATTTGTAAAAAGCAGGTTACAAATTGCAGCAACTGTTGCAAAAAATATATGTGCCTGAGGCACATGATTCTAACATGGTTTCTTGTGCAATCATCTGCTAACATGCAACTGCAGACTGCAACATCCCAGAATGAAAATTCATTTTATATAGCCAGTGGTCACTGATCCTGTATATATAGCATTAAATATTCAAGAATACGTATTTCTGCTTAAAAATAATTACAAATTTATAGTTGTTTGTACATTTAAAAATTAAACATAAATGTTGAGAAATCAAACACTGTTTCCACTAATATGATTTGAACAAGCGTGATTTATATCCTGTATACTAAGTTAATGCTGAAATGCTACAGTCATTGTAGACTTATGATCCTTCAGTTCTCAAACAGCTTATTAATTAATTTGTTTATAAGGCTAGGACTGAATTTTAGAAAAATGTAAAACTCTGTCAACAACAAAAGTGGGAATAGATCATAACAGAGATGTTTTATGCTACAAATTCATTGCATTCCCCATGGACAGGCCGTTTATCAATAGTAAATGAAAAGACTGGCTGTGCAATATTGTACGTTAAAATAACCCAAATATCAAGAACCACATTATGGACATCAAGTTGGACTTAAACTGGTTCTACTTTGTGTTGTCTTTTCATTTTGGTTATGAATGAATGTACAGTGTTTCTCAATTGTATTGAGTATGTGGAATGCTAAACAATCAATGGAAGAGGAAATCCAAGGTACTGGTAACAGACACATTTCACTTCTTGAAATAAAAAGTTATTTTTGCACCATCAAAAGGTAACTGTGTCACTAGTAGATAATAATAATAATTACAAACAGCATCCTTAATATTGCCCCAGATTTTCCAATAGCCAGATAGTCGTTTCTGGAGCATTATTGGGAATTACATGCCAGGACTCTGTGGAATCCTGATGTAGCAGGCTCTGAGGCAATCGCCTGGGACATTGAAGAATCCACTAAACAATTCTTCTATGCTTGGAACCCACTGAAAGTATTGATTTAAATTGGAGAATTCAGGAGGGTCTGCTGCAGTTAAGTAAACAGTTACCCATGAAAAGTAAGACAATTAAAAAGTTAGTCTAACTCCAGTATAACTAATAAACGGACCCCCACCTTCAACTGAACATTCATATCCCCAAAGTGCACCTGATTCGATAGTATTCCCCCTTCCACCTAAGATTTCCTCTCCTCCCTCCATCTTCTACCTTTAAAACCTATTCTCCTCCTCACAACATGCCCTGCCTCCACAGGATATGTCAACGCATTCCCCTCCAACTCCTCATTCGACATGATATCCCCTATCCAGCATTCCTTCTAACTATCTTACCAGCTGCATAGATCCCCCCGCAAGGCCAGTGCATGCTAGCAACTTCCAGATCAAGCAGGCAATGCCTGTGCGTGGAACACCAGAGCTGCAGTGTACATTTGCATGCAGTTTAAAGGGAGTGTTAGCTTTACCCACTCCTCGGCCCTATTCCATTTTGCATCCTACTCAACCAGTACCCTACCCTCATACTTACCTTATGCACTTAGCCTTTCACAGGAGCTGTCAAAGTGGCTGCCTGTGCTGCCAAACTTTTAAATCACAACATAGGAAACAAATGTTGTGACAAAGGGGGGCATAGTTTGACTTCACCTTACTACCTTGCACAACAAGGACCTGTCAGATTTAAACTATGTTCTGCAATTCTGAATTAGCGCTGATTAGAATCGCCTGTCAAAAATACAGAGCACTTTTTTAACAAATAAGTTTCAGAGAGGAGTGGCAAACTGTGATTGCCACTCCTCAGAAAATCTGGGCCAATATTTCTGACTCCACTGTAAAATTACTCCGGAAAAATGATTGCTTGATTTAGTATCTGTTCTGAGATATCACTGCCCACATAAATTTATTCAAATCAGTGGCAGTACGTCCTGCATTCTTAAATGTCTTATTGTCAACAATGTAGCTGCTACGTGGGAGTTTACCCCACAGAAGTATAGCTGCAATGCAGATTGAGTCTCTCTGATCAATTAACATTCCAGCCACAGATATATTTCCCGAGAAGAGATTGGACCAATCAATCAATGTAATAGAAAACAGTACCTACACCAAATCAGGATTTTTTAAAAAAGCTCAATGAAGAGTCAAAAAACTCAATAATATAACTCTACAACACTCTGTATAAGATACAAATAATATTAAACAGTGGAAATGAAATACCAATCTCAGGACTTTAAACACAAATATTATCAAAAGGAACTTTAGGGATGAGACAAACTTTGCCATAATGAGTTGCGTCTACAATGAACCTTCACTTCTATACAGTTTGAAAAGAAACATGTCATATAACACAGACAGTAGTCATTAATCAGCATGTTTGGCAATGTAAAACTATAACAAGTGTAACAAAAGTGTGCTAACTATTGCTTGGATACTAATTTCAAAGAACTGTTCAGAACATGAGCAGGAAAGGTCAGAGTATATAAAACATAAGTATTTTATTGCATTGAATACTGATGAAAATCTTAGCTTCTAACATTCAAACAAACTTCAGGACATTTTAAAAAAGTATTAAATACTGCAAACTGCAGTGAGTGCTGTCACATTCTGTCTGAATACTATTTTTGGATCAATCTAGGTTGATGACAGCTTCTTTGCATTGTTGGTCACAAAGGTCACACACAAACACAGGCTTGACCAGTGTTCTCTAGAAATTTCCCGATTCACAAAAATAGCTCAAATTTTATGAGCTGACATCTTCACTTACTAAAGTCATAAGAAGAGTTGACATTTTTTATTAAGAATAATGATCACACTTATAAGTGAAGGATGGTCTTTTGACAGTAAGATCAGGCATGTTAGTTAGGGACAATAGAACACTCCTTACTTAGCCTGATTGTGTTATTCTTGATTAAGGGTCTATGAATGTTGACACTTGATGGTCAAAATGAAAAAAAAGTGTTCTTATGTGTATTCCCACAAGGACACGTATTCAAACAGTCCCTGCACCTCTTCCAATCAAAAAAATTAAAATAGCTATTTTTAATGAAATCAACATTGATCCAGCAAGTTAAATCCAAAGCTAATCACAAATTAAAACTTCTCTTCTGGAGCGATCATTCACATTCTCAGGGCATTCTACACATCATTAGTATCTCCAGTTTTACTGAGATCTATGCTACACACAACATAAACTTACATTGTAAAAACCGAAAGAACTGAGGATGCTGTAAATCAGGATCAAAAATAGAAGTTGGTGGAAAAGCTCAGCAGGTCCGGTAGCATCTGTGAAGAAAAAGATCAGTTAACGTTTCTGGTCCGGTGATTCTTCCTCAGAACTTGCTCAGTTCTAAGTAACGTTAACGCTGATATTTTCTTCGCAGATGCTGCCAGACTTGCTGAGCTTTTCCACCAACTTCTGTTTTTATTCATAAACATTACACTATTCAGTCTGATTGGATCTTGTTCTATGTAATGGATCATTGAAAATACTTATGGTTAACATACCTGGTTGGAATGTGTCACAATGAGAGTCCTCTGCTCTGGAAAGTTGTGATACAGGTTAGAAATTATCTGTACAGCCACATCAGTTTTTCCTGTACCTGGTGGGCCTACTACCTAGAACACAGAAATCAGTAACAAAGAAAAATGTGAGGAAACAGTCAGTCACTTAAAACACTTCCTGTAGATCCTCCCTGACCTACAGGGTATTTTCAGCATCTTTTGTTTTTATTTTAAATTTCCAGCATCTAGAGTATTTTATTTTTGTTGCATTAAACATAGTCAAATAAACACTTGCAAAAAATGAGCACGAAGAGGGAATAAAAGCTAAACGTTTCTTTATGTTCTTACCATTGTTAGCCCTGGCTGCATACCAGCCCGAATTGCTTCTATCTGTGTTGGTGTGAATTGAATTGTGTTTCTGGAATTAAAACCCACATGAGAATAAACAACATGTCAAGAGAAAAATAGCATTATTCTGATTTACAAATTAATGCCCAAAATTCAAGGCTCATAACTCTCTTGAGTACCTCATCTACATTTCAACACATCCTACTTTATGATAATGTCTCATCATAAAATGAGGTTTCGTTTGCTTTGCAAGCCATCGTGCTGCTGCTTCTTTGCTAATGCTACCTCAGTTATTAA